GCGACAAAAACTGCGAGAAAACCTCAGTTTTTGTTCCATGTCGTTCCGACGCTTAAAGGTCAGTAAGTCATAAATTCTTTTCTCATTTGGAAAAGATATACCTTTACATGTTTTATAGCAAAAAATTATAGTTCAAGATCTGAAATAATAGCAATTGCTTATTGATGCATTATAGAAACCGCGCTGAAAAGACCTGAAGCACGTACATTAGAGCATTTCCTCTTTCATTTCGAAAAGTTCACTTCTTCCTGGAAGTCGCAAGCTCTTAGTGTAGTTGAAAGATGACACCATAGTTTAAGGATAACTATATGAGTTCAGAAAACAACAGTATCGGTGCCCATGTTTATTAGGTTTATGTACTAAGGGAGTGGAGAGTAGGAGTGAAGGGAGGTGTCGGCCCAAATCATCTCCATCTCTGTATTCTATTTTCGACTCACACCCTGTCTCTATGTTACAGTTACAACAACAATCAACTCCCCTGCTTCCCCTCAACCTAATCAGTCTGACATGACGGGAGTAGAAATACCTAAGGAGCTGGTATCATTTTTACGATTTATTAAGACTTTACTTTAGTTACTCTTATTCACTGATATAGATCTTGATTTTCCCCTTGTTCTTAGTAATGAAATTGACCTATTTACCAGGATATCCAGTAAATTCTCCTTTGAGATAAGATACCGATATGCCAAACTACTTAAGTCAGTCCAATAAGTTATCCTTTTTTGCATGGCACATCAATGGACTTTCTTCAAAATCATTAGGTAATAAATTACGGGATCCTGATTGTTTACGAATGATTAACAATTTTGATTTCATAGTTCTCTCCGAGACATGGAAATCAGTAAGTATTGACCTTGAAGGCTTCAACATTGTGAGTACAAGTACTTTAAAAAACAGAAAATGTGGTCGGAGCTCAGGTGGCCTAGCTTTGATTTTTAAATCAAACTTTAATGATTGGATTTCAGTGGAAAAAGAATCTCCGAATTTTCTATGGTTTAAGATTGCCAAAGAATATACAAAAACCGAAAAAGATATCTATGTATGTGGCACATATATCCCACCTCAAAATTCCATTTACTTTTATCCTGAACTATTTGAAGAACTTGAAAACGATATTGAGAAATTCTCGGCTTTTGGATCAATTCTTCTCGTGGGTGATTTCAACTCTAGAACAGGCAAATACTCAGACAATGTCTGTCAAGAGGGCAACACCATTATAACAAACGATCAATCTGAATTCTCCTTATGCGCCCTTCAGCGACACAGCTTTGATAACGAATTAAATAACCACGGTAAACGGCTTTTAGAAATATGTAGGAGTGCAGATCTAACGATTATGAATGGTAGATCCCGTGGCGATTCGCTGGGAAGGCCAACATTTCATGGTAAATTAGGAGTTAGTGTTGTTGACTATGCAATATGCGACCAAGACTTATTCCACTCTATCGCGAATTTTGTTGTCAAAGAGCCGTCGAGTTTATCAGATCACAGTCCAATAATGACATGGCTTAACATTACTAAGGTAAATACCCACTTAGCTACAGAAAATACCAATGATACATTAATTCGTTTACCCAAACAGCTTATATGGGAAAATGATTCATCACAACTGAAAATTTAAAACAGCACTGCAAACAAGAGACATACAGAGAATGATACATGATTTTCTTGTTGACAGTAGGCCAGACAAACACATTAACTCTTCTCTCGATGCAGTAGAAAGGATTCTTTTTACAACCGCAAAACATTGTTTGAAAATTAAGAACGTTAAAAGACGATATACTAGATTATCTTCTGTTTCGTCTAACAAAAAATGGTTTGATAAAGAATGTCGTCTTAAGAGACACGAATTGAGGAAACTTGCTAATCTAAAACACAGAGATCCTCTCAATATTACGCTTAGGGAAAAGTATCACACTGTCTTAAAATAGTGCAAAAACGTTCTGAAACAGAAGAGAAAAGAATACTATCATACTAAGATTTCGGAACTGGAAGACATGATAGATAACTCAAACAGCCGAAATTTTTGGAACTGCTTGAAATCTATGGATGATTCTATGAAGGAAACTAGTACCCCGCCAATCTCAGAAGAAAGTTGGTTGTCTCACTTCCAGTCACTACACTCAAACGAGCCTCTTAATTCACACCAAGAAGCCATTATCGATGAGTTAACAAGATTAGAAGACGCAACAACACAATCGCATGCCTTGGACTACCTAATAACTGAACTCGAAATACGCACAGCGGCTAACAAACTCAAAAACAACAAATCTTCGTATTCAGATAGAATAAAAAATGAAATGATCAAATCCAGCTTAAATGAACTAATGCCTATTTATTTGAAGTTATTTAACGCTGTTCTGACGTCAGGCACTATGCCTCAAACATGGTGCGGTGGCCTTATAACACCAATTTTTAAAAGTGGGGCTAAAAGTGATCCCTCAAATTATCGAGGAATTTGTATTTCTAGTTGTCTTGGGAAACTATTTTGCTCAATTCTCAATCAAAGACTTCTCAAGCACATTCAGTCGCGTGACATACTTCATAAATCTCAAATAGGTTTCTTAGCAAATAATCGAACCGCTGACCATGTTCTTACACTACGAACATTAATTGACAAATACGTTAACTGTCACAAAACGAAAGTATACGCATGTTTTGTGGACTTTAGAAAAGCATTTGATTCGGTGTGGCACGATGGACTCTTATACAAGCTGTTACAAATAAATGTCCGAGGAAACTTCTATAAAGTCATAAAAAGTTTATACTCAAACTCTACCTGTTCTATTAGGATTGGAAATAACCAAACACAACCTTTTCAATACACTAGAGGTGTGCGTCAAGGCTGCATTTTAAGCCCTCTTCTCTTAAACCTATACGTTAATGATCTACCTTTTTCATTCAACAATGTTTTATCTGATCCGTTTGTGCTACCAAATGGCACCAAACTCAATTCTCTCTTTTATGCTGACGACCTTATTATTATTATTATCACGATCGAAACTAGGATTACAAAATTGCCTAAACAAATTGTCTTCATATTGCAACTCCTGGATGCTTAAAATCAACCCCAAGAAAACCAAAATAATGGTTTTCCAAAAAGGCACAAAAAAATGTGATTATGTTTTTCACATAGGCAATGTAATGATAGACATTGTAAAAGACTATACTTACTTAGGGACTCGCATCTCGTCTCCCGGAAATTTTACAATCTCAGTTGAACATCTTCGACAAAAAGCCCTTCATGCTCTGTTCAGTCTAAGACGCCACACTGATTTTAGTAAACTGAAACCCTCCCTTGCAAATAAAATTTTTGACACAATGATCTCATCAAGTTTAACTTACAATAGTGAAGTTTGGGGTGCCTTTGTGAAATCAGATTTTAAGTCATGGGATAACTCCGGAATCGAAAAAACTCATTTACACTTCTGTAAACGATATTTAGAAGTCCATAACAAGTCATCCAATGTTGCATGCAGATCTGAACTTGGCAGATTCCCTCTGATCATTGACATAAATAACAAGATACTTAATTACTTAAACTATCTCCAAGAAAAAGATGAAAATTCTATAGTTAAACAATCTTTAAAAATATCTGTTGACCTTTATCATAGTGGTCAAAATAGTTTTTACTCCAGTCTTAAGAAGATGAATGACTACTATGATTTCCCAGGCTTTAATTGTAATTAACTGAATAAATGTAAAATTAAGCAATATGTAGATCTTATGCAAAAGAAATATATCACTTACTGGAATCATACCCTTCAACTTTTAACTTAAGTTTTATTATAAAATCAAAACGAATTATAGCCATTCTGTCTACCTAGATTTAACAAGAAAGAACCCTTCTAGGAAAACATTAGTGAAACTGAGAATAAGCAGTCACAAACTTAGGATTGAGACAAGTAGATACGACGATCTACCACGTGACGAAAGGTTATGCAATCTCTGCAATTGTAACAAAATTGAAGATGAAACTCACTTTTTATTAGATTGTCAGAGTTTTTCTTGGATAAGAGATATGTTCTTCTCTAAACTAGAACCTTAAATACCGTCTCTGCGACTACAATCACATGAGTCCTTATTATCACATCTGATGAATTCTACTGACTATTTTATTAACATCTAATTAATTTCATTTATATCAACTTGCTTTGAATTGAGAGACAAACTTATCTCCGGAATAATTAATCCTACTGATGGTTAGAAATAAACAATGATTAATAAGTTTCAAATTATTTTAAATATTTAATTTACAAGGAATCAATGAGTAATTTCAGGTAGCTTTTGCAATACTGTAATACTTTGTTATGGTCATGCAAATAAAGCTTATTGTTGTTGTTCTTGTATATTAAGTATCACTGTTCAAATCCATCATGCTTCGCGGCCCGCTAGTCCCGTTTCATTTTCCTTTTGGTGCGGTTCTGTGGTAATTTTCCTCGCGTGTCTCCTTCTCTCGCGCGCGTTTTTTCTGGTGCCCACTACTTCCAAGCGCCTGCTACGCAGGCTATATTCATATTTTTCTGTTATTTCTCGGTTCCCTCTTTAAACAGTGCAGCGTTTTCGAAATTTTCCTGCAGTTCTCCCTCCCCCCACCGTATACAAATTTGAAACTCGGAAAATATTTCTGGATACACGCGTCCAACATTGTTTGTGGGGTGAGGGAAGGGGTTGGACCTGTGTGAATTGGAAAACGCCCCAGAAATGCAAAAGTGTCTCAAGACTTTTGTCCATGATTGTACGCCTTACTATGGGATCTGTGCCCTTTTCGTTGTATCTGCTCCTGGTAAGCTCTATATATAGATCGAACGCACATGGAAGCCTGCCACCAGATGTCCCGCCTGCTCTTATTTAAACGACAGTGACACAAACTTTTGCAAAGCCTGCTGTAAACCTAAGTCGCGTGAGCCAACGCAAGGGGCCCATTCAAATGCAGACATGCCTCTGATCAACTTTTAAGCGCTTTACAAAATTCCAAGAATCGTTCAGAAACAAACCTTATGAACGGCAAAAGGATTCATCAGAAGTTCAGCTATCGAGTTTCTTACGCTCTCTTGTACCCGCAAAGAAATTTTCTGCTGCGATGGCGGAAGACATGCATCGTAAAGTTTTTGACTAGCATGGATGCCGCGGGAAAACAAAAACTCCATGTACGCTCATGCTCTAGTAAGACCTGAAGTTACCCTAAGCGTCTGGCGGCCGGAACTGTCGATTCATATATAGGGAAGCTTAGAGCGATTTTCAATAGGTTAGGCCGTACAGGGCTTTCTAACCCGTTAGCACATTCTTGTGTTAAAGAATATCTTATGTTTGTAAGAGAGGAGCAAGCTCAGCGACCTTTGTAACCTCGTCAGTCTGTCCCTTTGTTCTATGAAATATCACCCGTTTAATTGCCTATCTTCGCGGGCATAATGCCGAAGGCTCTGTGCTTTCTCTTCTCAATAGATACCTCGTGGTCAGAGATATAACATTCTTTGTTACAGACTTTTACACCGGTGATAGAGCATCCGATTTAGGCCGTTTAAAGGCAGATGAGCTTTTTCGTCTCAAGGATAGGGAGGGTTCCTTCTTAACTTAACGTTTAATAAAACGAGGTGTCCAGGTCAGTTACGCCCCTTTTGCTCTGTTACGTATACCAAATGTATCTGTCTGCCTGGTTTTTTGGTTGAACTATTATATTCCCGCATGTGGGGCGTTAGGTGTCCCTCTTCTGGGTGAGAAACTATTTAGATCCTCGGAACATAAAAAGTTAGTGTCACATCGTCCGTTTTGCGGGTCCGCCGTATCTGCACGACTCTAAAAGTATCTTAAGGCCGCCGGCATTAGTGACGGAGTGACCCCTCACAGCTTTCGTGTAGGGATTTCATACACCCTTAAGGGTTTGGGTTGTACTCTGGAGCGGATTGCCCAGTACGTTGGTTGGCGGAGCACACAAATTGCCTTGTATTACACGCGCCGCTCCAGTGCTTCTACTTCTTTGCATTTGATAGAACGGGTTACATTCAATCTGACTACTGCGGGCTCTCTGCCCGCGCTGCAACTCTCCGACCAAGAGAATTTGACTTGTATCTTTCATGACTTAGGAACATTCATTCTAGTACACTACGGTGGATATTTATGTCATTTCTATTAGATATTAACTTGTTGTTAGTTAATAACTGAATCTTTATTGAGTTATGGAGTATTGGGTGTTGAGTGTTGGGTATTGAAATTATAAGGTCGATGTGCTTTTTGGGGAAGGACGGAGACCTAGGCTATAGCAGACTGCCTCAGGGAATGGCAAGGAGCGGATCTCTCTCCTATAACTTAGTTTCAAGATGTGTTAAGTGTTAAGTTTTCAGTTTTACATTTTTCCTCAACTTCATATTTCTCGGTCTCTTCCTGCCTGCTAAATGCTCAACATAGTACTACATCCTCACTGTTTACTACTTGTAATTAACACATTGTAAAAATAAGTTATGGGAGAGAGCTCCGCGAATTGTTGCGGAAAGAGGTAGGCCGAAAGAATAGATCGCGAGATGTGAGGAGTTGTCAACCAACACCAGGGGAGGAGGGTGGAGCGAACCTTGATAAGTCGTCTCGGCGGTCGGAGCTGTGACACAGTGAAATCAAAGCCACGTGGTATATCATATTTCTAAGGGCAGCCTGCAGTGCACTGATGCGTCCCTAAGCACGGCAGAGTATTTTTCTAGTCGTTACACGATGCGTCAATTAATTATTCAATGAGAATAGTCTAGGGATGACAATTATGTGTTACGAGAGAGCGATAAAAATTCTATGTAAATTCAGTAAAGGGGAACATGCAGGCTTTCTTTTTTGTTAATACTTAGAAAGTTCATGCCGCATTTAACAAGAGAAGATTTCCTTAGCTTTAATTTAGGGTCCAAACTGGATGATTATATATTGCCTGGTTTGAATCTGATGCCTAAAGTGCATAAATTGACAGAGAAAGCTGGTGTGGCGATGGAACCTTTGCTGGGCACGCTTTTCCCTTCCAAAGCTACGAAATGATTTAGGTGGTCTTTTCGTATTTCCTATGGTTTACAGTAAGGATGATAATGAAGTTTACACCGCACAGAAAATATTAAGGAGAGCATTGGCAGGGTTACCTTTATTAATCTCCTTTTCTATTTTATGGAGAGTAAACACAAAATTAAAGAATTTGCTTTGTACAAGGAGGCTTTTACAAGAAAAATGGAAAGATTATATAACTGATTAATTGCAGTTTGGTAAAATAAATCCACATTATGATATTGTCTTTTGAGGTTGATTAACGTATCTTACAAAAAAAGCAATCAGTTTTACATCTATGATATCCCGCAAGGAAACAACCCTTACTGATTTTACAAGCACCCTTTCCAGGAACACTTGTCGCACAAGTGCAACGTCCTTCTATAGGAATCCAAAGTAAGAAACAATTACCTGACATCCCTTTAGGTTCTTTTAAAATATGAATAAACATTAATTAATTGATTGACACCTTTTACCATTATTAACATAGAAATATTTAAATAATAACACTGGGCTTTTGATAGTTTAGCTGTCATTTAGTTTCCTTATTTTGTTATATGTCTTCTTCTTCGGTGAAAAGAACCGAACTGATAAAGACAAACTCCCCATTGCCGTTCGTAAAGAAAAACATAACACTTGGACACACGGATTACTGTGAAGTATTTCCTTGCGCAAAAATGCCCGGCGGCTGCCGGTTACAGGTTGAACAAATTGCGCGTGATGTACAATGTCGTAAGCCCTCAAGTAGAGACAACATAATGCGGTCGTCCTGATTCTGCTGTTATTCAAACTGCGATAGGTTCGACCTGTTTGTAACTTTTTTTATTCGTTTCGAAAAGAAAACTGTTGCTACCGTTCCAAAGCATCTCCTCCTCAGGCAGGGATGTTGGAAGTTTCTGGACTTATGAGATATCAATTAACTATTCATTAATTAAACATGGTCTGGTGTTAGTCGATTTAGGCACGAAGAGCCAGTTCGCAAAAGTCTCAAATGTATCCTATTTTCTTGGTAATTTTTATTGTAAATTAACGTTGCAGTCATTGGTTTTGTTGTAGCCAGTAGAAGGAATCACACGAGCGACATGTGCGTTTGCATAGGCCAAAATGAAGTCATCATCCCTTAGGTTGAAACGCTTGAATGCTTGTTAGAATTCATCTCGAATGATATTTTTCTGTTTGTCTTAATCTGTTTTATTCGTGTGAAGTATAAAGGTCGTTTATACTAGTTTTCAAACTATAATAGGCAAAATCCGTTTACCTCTAACAGGATTCATGAGCACTTTCTAGTCTCCTGCTCCAATATTATAATATTTCAACAGTGAACGAAGAAGGGTATTTTACATGTGGCCGAGTAGAAGGAACTAAAAGCAATTAAAAGTTTAACTGTGCTATTTCGCTCAATTTGAGGCTTATTTGTAATTGGTAAATAATAGAAGAAAGACTTTGTAAGGTGTACTACCCACATCTGTTCGTGTTGCACTGCTGGTGTAACTAGCTAGCCGCGAAGTGAAGGTTACCTGTACGGAAACTTATATACGTGGCTGCTTGCGGATACTAGCGTTGTAGTCTTGATAATAAACAGCAGACAATACAAAAAAAAAAATACAACTTACAAGGTTTGCAGCTTAGATAGATTGGAAAATATCCCAGGTGGAAGCTGTTCAATTTTGTTGTTGTACAGATATCTGCAAGAATGAGGTTAATTATTTTAACTGCGCATGTCACAACAACAACAATAAGTCAAAAAAACCCTCATCATTGTCTATTTTCGTTCTTATCACAGTTGCCTATTGCTATAGTACTGACCTCTGTATGCACTGGTAACTTTATATGCGTGCATGGGAAACTATCAATTTTTTTGGAGAAAACGGAACTACGCTTTAGACACTATTTTGCACGCACCTACTCCCATTAGTTTTCACCCTCCGGCAAGCTAACGTTTAATTTTACTTTTACATAACGACCAGCAAGATTCATTTTTGTAATCAGCACAAGTCTATGGTTTGTGTTATTTTAATTATTAATTAAAACTAGGAAAAGCTTTTAAAGGACAGATTCAACATAATCCCGTTTCATGAAAACAATAATAAAGAAAGGTTTGAGAAGAAAACGATCCAACTAAATTGAGTTGTCCAATGAATTTGTCTTTTGCAACCATTACCTAAAGGCTTAATCTAGACAGCAATTTGTGATTGTTTTTCCAGTTTGTTTTTCAGTTTTAGCTAGAAAGCAATAGTAACTAACTGTAATACTTAAGTTCCAAAGTCTCTGAGCTCTGAGCTACAATAAAAAGCGGTGCGGGTTGGACAGTTCTAGATTATGACCATAAACAACCTGAATCTTTAGCGTTAAAAGGTAACTTTTAAATGCGCAAATTGTTCTCGCGCGATCCATATTTGTAACCGTACATTAAGTCTAGATTATCGTACGTTTACTATTATTTCCACCACTGCGTCTTTGTCTTTTAGGCACTATTTAAGCACGATAAAGGGACCCTTTTAGGGTAAATGCAGAGGCACCTTAAAACTACAACACCAGTTGCAGAATCATCATACCCGGGATTGTGACTTTTTAAAAGTGGACCATGCACGATCAAAGAGAGATTTCCAAGACTTAATTACGTAGAGCGGTGCGGAACCAGAAAAACAAGGTCAGCTGTGTTTTGTAAGGATTAGTGGAGGAAGGGAGGGATTCAGGGAACATAAGAAAGTTGACACTTACGCGAATTGACTGGTTGCATTGTATCCGCTCCATAATTATAGTTTAAAAAGTTTGACGTTCTGTAAAACGGCTTTGCAAGCGCATTATTTTGTTGTGCGACAAAAACTGCGAGAGGACCTCAATTTTTATTTCACGTCGGGCGTACGCTTAAAGATCTGTAAGGCATATATTATTTTCTCATTTGGGAAAGATATAACTTCACATGTTAGCAAAAAATTATAGTTCAAAAATCTGAAATGATAGCAATTGCTTATGGATGCATTATATAGAAACCGTGCTGAAAGACCTGAAAATATGCACTGAAGCACGTACATTAGAGCATGTCCTCTTTCGTTTCGCAAAGGTCACTACTTCCTGGAAGTCGCGAAGCTCTTACTGTAGCTCAAAGAAGACACCATAGTTCAAAAATAACGACATGAGTTCAGAAAACAACACAAGTATCGGTGCCCATGTTTATTAAGTTTATGTACTAAGGGAGTGGAGAGTGGGAGTGAAGGGAGGTGTCTGCGCAAATCATCTCCATCTCTGTATTTAACTTAGACCTTTTCTCTATGTTACAGTTAGTCATATTAAGTATCACTGTTCAAATCCATCATGCTTCGCGGCCCGCTAGTCCCGTTTCATTTTCCTTTTGCTGCGGTTCTGTGGTAATTTTCCG